CTGGAGGCTTGCCAATGTGACACCCATCTACAAGAAAGGCTGGAAGGAGGATCTGGGGAACTACAGGCCTGTCAGCCTGACCTCAAGTACTGGGGAAGATTATGGAGAGGCTCATCTCGAGGGTGCTCACAAGGGCATGTGCAGGACAACCAAGGGATGAGGCCCAGCCAGCATGGGTTCATGAAAAGCAGGTCCTGTTTGACCAACCTGATCTCCTATGACCAAGTGACCTGTTTAGTATATGAGGGAAAGGCTGTGGATGTTGTTGACCTGGACTTTAGTAAAGCCTTTGACAGCATCTCCCACAGCATTCTTCTAGAGAAACTGGCAGCTCGTGGCTTAAACAGATGACACCAAGCTGGGTGGGAGTGTAGATCTGCTTGAAGGTAGGAGGGCTCTGCAGAGGGATCTGGACAGGCTGGATCGATGGGCTGAGGTCAACTGTATGAGGTTCAACAAGGTCAAATGCCAGGTCCTGCACTTCAGTTACAACCCCATGCAACGCTACAGGCTTGGGGAGGAGTGGCTGGAGAGCTGCCTGGCGGAAAGGGACCTGGGGGTGCTGGTTGACAGCTGGCCTAACATGAGCCAGCAGTGTGCCCAGGTGGCCAAGAAGGCCAACAGCATCCTGGCCTGTATCAGAACTAGTGGGGCCAGCAGGAGCAGGGAAGTGACTGTACCCCTGTACTCAGCCCTGCTTGAGGCCACACCTTGAATACTGTGTTCAGTTTTGGGCCCCTCACTACAAGAAGGATGCTGAAGTGCTGGAGCATGTCCAGAGAAGGGCAACAAAGCTGGTGAGGGGTCTGGAGCACAAGTCTTCTGAGGAGCGGCTGAGGGAATGGGGGTTGTTCAGTCTGGAAAAGAGGAGGCTGAGGGGAGACCTTATTGCTCTCTACAACTACCTGAAAGGGGGTTGTGGCTACAAGGGCGCTGGTCTCTTCTCCCAAGTAACTAGCCATAGGGCAAGAGGAAACGGTCTTAAGTTGCACCAGGGGAGGTTTAGACTGGGTATTAGGAAAAATTTCTTTACTGAAAGAGTGGTCAGGCACTGGAACAGGCTGCCCAGGGAGGTGGTGGAGTCACCATCCCTAGAAGCGTTCAAAAGAGGTGTATATGTGGCACTTCAGGACATGCTTTAGTGGGGCATGGTGGTGTTGGGTTGACAGCTGGACTTGATCTTTAAGGTCTTTTCCAACCTTGATAATTTTAATTCTATGAATGTCTCCATTCTTAGGGTTTTTTCAAGAGTTAGCTGATAAGCTTAGGTAGCTTCACCTTATTCCTTTGTGCCGGAGATTGAACTAGATGACCTGAGGTCTCTTCAGTCTGAATAATCTTATGAGATTAAAAGTCACAAGAGAATGCTGACAAAGTCAGAAATCAAAACAAGGCTTCCATGTCCTAATCTGGCATCTTAATGATTAAACCTTCCCAGAAGTGAACATTAGCTTGTCTATACCTTCATAGCAACCACATGTACAGAGCTACTAACTGACAGTCAACCAACATAGCCTAGAAAAATTAGCTTGCATCTCAGCTCAACCACTGTCACTACCTGTATAAACAGTTTAGGAAGCATTTTATCCTGTTCTGTCAGTTAGAATCTTTGTGAAGCAAGAGAAACACAAGCAGTCAAAACTACAAAAAACTATGGACTTGTCCACCCTATCTCCTATGCTTCCAAGCACAGCTTACAGCACAGCATGTATTATGATAAAAGACCCTTCAAGAATGTCAAAGGCAATAGGAAGGGCTTCTTCAAGTATGTAAGCAGCAAGAGGAAGATGAGGCAAAATGTGGGCCTGCTGCTGAGTGGGGCAGGGGGCCTGGTAACACAGTACATGGAAGAGGCTGAGGTACTGAATGCCTTCTTTGCCTCAGTCTTTACTAGCAAGACCTGACTTCAGGAAACCCAGGCCCGACAGACCAGGGGGAAAGGCTGGAAGGAAGATAAACCCTCAGTGGAAGAAGATCAGGTTGGAAAATATTTAAGCAAACTGGATATAAAAAAATTGATGGGCCCTGAAGGGATGTATCCAAGTGCCGACAGAGCAGGCAAACATTACTGCAGGGAACTTTTAGTCAGTAGAAAATGCCTACAATAATGTAGGCTACAACTTGACCAAGGCTCATAGCATTATATTCTAACACATTCAGACAGAAGCCAATACTTTGATACATAGCAAGTATGAGGCACAAATATTAGAGTACTTAATGCAAATGCATTAATGTTAGTTGGATAACTTCTAGTTACCATTTTTCTGTAAAAGTGATTTGGAAAGTGAAATCAAGTCTGTCTTAGCTCACCTATAAAACACTTTCTTCACACTTTTTCTCTGAAAACACATCCTGGCTAAGTACATGAACTGCTTAAGCTAAACATTAAATACATTGTGGAGGTTGGCCTTCACAATAGTTCTTTGTAGCCCTAGCATAGTATGTATAATAAATGCAAACAGAAGAATTTTAGAAAAGGTAATGAAAGAGTCATAACACCCATAGGAATTCCTGTCTTAACACAGTTATTTATGAAATGGTCTCATTCTTACAGTGAGCAGCAGTATCACATATAATTAAATAAGCACTCAAAAACTGTCATATGACAAGATACACACTATACTGAAGTTCACCAATTTTAGGGTATTCAAGTAACATTCAAAAGCTGTGTTAAGTAAAGACTGTGAAAGTACCTTCCCCTCCCCACCATTAATATCACAGGACACAGGATGGGAATCCTTGCTGTCAAAAGCGGACTGTGCAGAAAGCAGACACTGCCAGTGTCTCCTCTCTGTACTTGAAAGACTGTCCTGTTTTTCTTTGTCTGAACAGAAGGAGAACAATCTTATTGCAATGAGTTAGTGTAGGTGAGCAGTTAAGAGGCAAGCTAGAAAAACTCACCAAGAAAGTTAGTTTTCATGTTCAGTCCATGATGAGTATGCCCAAATAAGTTAGCAGCAAGTTACACAAAGCTCAGAACAAATCTCAAACTTACGACTACTTCCAAATTCTTCAAAGAGGAGCTTCACTTTCTCCCACTCAGTGGAATTCTTCTTGTTGGGAATATCCAAAGGAACAAAAGCACTGTAACAAAGCAAAAAGTCATCTCACCCTAATTAGTCAAATATCAAAAGAATTTTCCTTCCAACTTAAGAAAATGGAAATCCATTTATTCATGAAGAAAAATTATATGACATTAGGTTTAAAAAATTCTGAAGGCAATGTTTCTTTTTATTCACGTTGCCCTCATATGCTGTATTTAGATCAGCAGAGTATGTGTGTGAGTGCGCAGAGTCAGGTCTGAGGTCAATGAACAAGTGATTTTCTATTTACCAGTCCTAGCAGAGGGAAGGACCCTACACTCAAGCATCATTAAAAGATGTATTAATCTGATTTACTGTCCTGGTTTGACTTCTGTGCAGAGGAGCAAAAAGACTTTAAGCATCAGTTGAGACGAATTCTCTTACAAATCCACACTTCTGGAAGCAAGAATAAAACAATGATTCCCATATCAAGCATTAATTAAAGCTTAAAGGCATATGCTTATGTACTATTATAACTATAGTACCACATCTTCCGCATTCCATTCCTTGTTCTGTACTTGGCCCAGAGAATTGAACTGCAGAGAAATTCATTAGATAATTTTGACTGCCCAATAAGCAGAGACTAGTCAAGTCCACTCAGAAGAATGTCAGGTAGAAAAGTCCCCCAGCTGAAAACTTCTTGCTCTCAGTCTCCCCATCTGAAGTCCAATAATAAGAGTAACTCTTCAGCATCTCCACAGACAAGCCAGATAGTTTTGCAACAGCTGGAAAACCAGCACCTCCATACCAATCTGAAACCATAGGTTCCAGGCATAAAACAGAATGCCTACAAGTGACAAGGAAGTAAAGTTTGGAGGGGAACTTTTTGGTAAAGTATGTGAGAACCCAAACCAAAGTCCATAATGAATGCTCACTAGTATCCTTCAGACTTTTGTAAGACAGAGTACATAATTAGATCCCTGCTTCAACTCCCAGTAAACAAATGAGTAACAAATATACAACTTCCAGGATTATGCCTCAAACTTCAAGTACTGAACATAAGCATGAGTCTCAGATTAGTGCTAAACTGTGTGCACTTACAATCATCACATCAAAACCAGACTGGTACTCCGCCAAAGTTAAAATTTAAAAAATTAAAATCTCAACTTAAAAATGTTTGACTTTTGGCATCTTGACTGTGGAAGAGGTAGATTACAGCTTGCATTTACTTAAGTTCATGCAAGCTTGCTGACTTTAGATTTTGCCCTTGATAGTAGAGTCCTTGCTTCTAGTAGTAATTCCTTCTGTAAAATAGCATCCAGGCAAGATCAAGACACAGGTATTAAAAAAGTTAGGCAGGATTTCTACTTATGAGAGATAGCAACACAAATAATTGCAGGTTTAGATCCTTTAATCTCTTTTTAAATTAGGAGACTCTGGGAAACTAAGGGAGCTCAAGTCCTTTTATTTCAGCATCAGTATGAATTTGGTATTTGTGGACCACATGCAGGGAACAAATGAGATGGAAGAACGTCTTAGGATATTTCTAACTTGCTTGCCTTTTTACCCCCCTGCCAAGAGCAACGGGGCTAGTTTTTTTTTTGTTGAGACTACCTACAACCAGCATGTGAAAGGCCACTAAACAGAGCAGAAGACACAGTATCCATTGTACACACTCTTCAATTAGTACTCAGCTAAATCTTGACTGATGGAGAAGGACATCTGATTCTGCTCCTACTGAAGTTCCATGCACTACGGGCCTCAAAGGAATGCAGGAGCTAGATTCACACACTTTAGTCCCACGCAACCAGGAATCTTATTTCCCCTCCTGAACAGGGTCCCTCAACTAGTAGCCAACTATCCAGAAGGCTAGCTAGCCCACTTGCACAGACTTCTGGCCTCTAGTTTAACAGGCCACGAGAATAATGAGGCAGAGTTTGTATGCCTAGCCCTCTACAGACTTGCATCCAGTCCACACTCCCAAAGGATCTCCAAAACACAGCCCATCTATTGCACCAGCACAGTACACAGCAGTTTAGGCCTACTCTTCATGCACACTAAGCAGGAATTTGACAAAAGCCTTGGCTATTTTGCTATGTTGACTAAATGGTCAATACAGCCTCAGGGCCATAGCCATCAACAGAATGAGAAGTTGCCAGGCTAAATAATTCAATTCATCTATCATCACTGTGATACAATACAAGTCAGTCCACTGACAGCCAGTGAATAGAGTACAAGCACCAGTGAAGGGTTTTACAGGTGTAGCTGAGAACTCAGTTAACACAAGCAAACAGAGCAGCTCAGCTGTGAAGTCTTACATTTGGAGTTCTGGACCTAAATGAAGTTATTCAGGGCAGTAATTTTAAGAATAGAAGCAAACTGCTATGCTGTTTAAAACATATCATGGGAATACTATCGTTAATATCTGGATCAAGATCTAGGCTGCAGAACAAGGAAAGTAAATTCAGGACAAGCATTTTAAAACTATTTACTTTTGGCAAGCCTAATAGCACACAGGTGTAGATGAGTCAAGTTTGATCCTTAAATCAGAGTGTCATTAACTCTCATCCTTAGGAAAAAGATTTCTAACACACTAGATTTAAACTCAGTTCCTTAAGAGTGAGATCTGCTATAATATAATTTGCCTAGTTATTTATAGGTTAGACATATATTCATACCTTTCTTAAAAGTTAATGGTTCTACAAAGTTTAAGGTAACCAGTTTAATTCCAAACACTGACAGTCAGGGAAACATTCCTTTTAGAATCAAACATTCATAAGCCTCAAAAGCAATATTTTAGTTCAAATCAGACTGCCATATAAGCATGCCTTAATGTAAACTGTATCTCAAGCCCCTCGCCTCCAGCACATGATATTTAGTGTAAGTAAATTATATTCAAGTAAAGGAGATAATTTCTAAGGGAAAGGCATTATAAGTAAATATTAGTTCTGAGCATCCCAGTATACATTTGTCATATACTTTGCTTCTAATGATACTCTGCATCAAGTTATTTGTGTGCAGAGCATTTGAGTGCTATTACAGACAGGCACATTTTTGCCACAGGCAAAAGGCTTTGTAACAGACAACTAGCATAAGAGGTGTAAATACTACTCTTGCTAACTATTTAGACAATGGAGTCCTGCTCACTGAAGTGTTATCAACTTCCAAAAACCCAAGATCATCTGACAAAAACAGACACTATGTTTCTCAAAATAGTCATAGATCTCTAATGGAGCAAGGTAAACATCCAACTGAGAATAACATTTTCTTAAACTTCAAGCTTAATCCAGCTTTTATGGTTTCTTTGAGGACTGCTGACCAAGAAAGAGGTAGGGACTTCTTGTGCAGTCCTATCTTTAAAGGAACCAAGCTATTTATTGACCAGTTATAATTATACAGATTACTTGCTAAATCAATCAGAACAGAGGTTGTCTTGACAAGAGACACTAGTCATGCAAGTACAAGATAGACTATTTGTTAAATTAAAAGGAAATATTCCAACCCCTCTTGCTTTTGTAACCTGTGTGCATGAGTATTCTGGTCCATTACGCCTAGTCTCCTAAAATTAAATCCAGTACATAAAATTCCACTCTATTTTAGTATCGGTCTGATCCTGACCACTAGTGAGGAAATCTCCTGCTACCGCCAGGAGTACGTGTAGTACTGTAAGATTGGTCTTCACTACTACATTCAGTTGAGCCCCTCATGTAGCCTTTAGAAAAGAGATAAAAAAGTGTTGGAGCTATCACACTGGGACTTCTGAGGCTGCTCTTTGCCCTTGCAAGTACAGATAGTTGTCTAACTTAGATAGGTAACTGCTTCATAACAAGCATGTACATAAAGATTCAGGCACCCACTACTTTTTATGTATATAAAACCATAACTATACTAGAACCAAAGTTCATGTTTTTCTTCAGCAATTACCTCATTTACTTCCTAAACTGAGCTCTTCAGCCTTGTAGCTTCCTTTAAAGGGACAGACAAGAACTATATTCTTCTGCAGCAGCATCTTAAGTAGCAACGGCGCTTTTCTATTCCCAGGGAATAAGATGGTGCTGCTATTTAGTTATTACCATCTTAAATGAAAGCAACCTCATATGTATAATAGCAGAAAAATTGTCCCAGTTAGAACCCAGAAATACTAAAATACCTATCAGTTTCTAAAGGAGTCCTGCCTCCCTGCAGCAGATACTCCTGCTATTTAGATCAGTGGGTTTCCAATCTGTACCTATGGAGAAGCACTTGTTCAGCAACTACGTTAGTCCCAGCCCAAGTACTGCAGCTGTCTGATTTGCAAGTCAATCTTGCTGTCATATGGCAGAGTATCAGAGGGGACCATGAGGTCGCTGTAACTTACAAGTCATGAAGGCTTAAAAGAACAAGCCAAGAGCACAAAGGACAATTAGGAAGTCAAGAACCAAGTTCCATCTTGCTAGAAGAGAGGAGCAAACATGCTTAGAGCTACCAAGGATTCAGCTGACACCTAGAGATACTGCAAAATTCTCTGAAGTGGATATTATACAGTACATATATGTATGACTGATGTGAGCCAACAGCCAGAGAAACAGTTTTTGTCAGAAGCTTTAGTAATGTTTCTAGACCACAATTAAGCCAACTCAAACTCCTTTAGTCTCTCATAACAGCAAATATGTTATTTTTAACTGAAAGGACAATAGACTACTTCGAATGTGCCTTAGGTGTTTATCAAAACTAGAAACAGTTTTCCAATGCAGTGGTATACAATTAGAAGCATTAATTTCACTTCAGTTTCTACTTCATGCTCCAGTACTTTCACAGGATCATTTTAGCATACATTTGGTAAGTTTTACCATCTTTATTGCTGCAGTCAAAATGCTAAAAAGCTTATAACTGCATACATTAGAAACATTCAATATTGGTGGGCGTGTCATGCTTAATGGTGACCTTGAATTTGTAACAGTGCTTGGAGTTTGAGTAACAGCACTTGCTGCAAACAAGTTACTCACTTCACTAACCTATGATAAAGGTTTTGCTGGCATTTGTTTGAAAGGCAGACAAGGCACAACTATGTCAAGTATAACCCCACACTATACTTATGTCCTTCACAGAACACTTCCATTCAGGAAAGTACTACGCATGTAACACCTACTCATATTCCTAAATGCTGTTTTGGGATGTCCATGAAAGCATTTGATAGAAGCAGAAACCAGGAAGAGTACAACTATTGTGTCCCCTGTTGTACACTGAGATAAATAGTAATGTAAATAAATGTCATAGTGATCACATCCTTGAATGGATGTCTGCACTGCACAAACAGGCAGAACCTCGAAGCACAAGTACCTCCACAATCAAGAAAACCATTTTAGCTTCTGGTTAAACTCTTACTTTTTAGGTACCTAATTCTCAGGATGTTTAAGCCCTATTAGAGATTAAACTAGATATTCATAACAGGGATTAAGTGTACCATAATCTACCTTTTTAATCTTGCACAGAACAAAGTTCTGTTGGGGGTTCTATTTAGTATATCCTCTGTTAATATTCAATACATACTTACCCAATTAAGAGGAGAACTGCACAAATTGTGATGAATCCCAGAGTATATTTGAGTGCAGTTTTAACCTGCTGTATATTAAAGAGAAAGTTAATATATTAACATAAAATAAATCCAAAGGGATTTGTCCTATGAGTTATGGCAAAGCATATTTAGCATAACAAGTGTTCTACAGAAGGACCTCCACAAAAAACATCAGTAGTTTTAGATACAAGTCAGAAGTATACATTCTTGAAGAGTCTCATAGCTTGAGAACTATTAACAATGACATGGAATTATGCTTCCATCATAAACTATGTATTTGAGCAGCTGTGGCCAGAAGCCAGCGTACATTCTTTCAGTGCAAGTACACACAAAGAAATTTTTTTTAATTATCAATGCTTTATACTATGGCTATTATTAGAAGTCTTTTTCCTCACGTTAAGGTTACAACTGAATAGACGGGAAAATTATCATGATCAAGGATTAAAAGACTGGTTTAAGAAAAGTATTTTTGTCTGAGAAGATAGCACCTTACTGGCATGCATTTATTGTATTCCCTGGAATGTCATGTATGTCAGAAGTCTTCAGTGCATTACAAAAATAACCAAGTGCTAGCTTCAGGTAAGTTACTACTGCCTACTGCAAGAAAAATGCAAATACTACATGAAGGAAGAAACTAAATTTGAGCACCTATCTCAGAATCAGTATAATCTTTCTGTCTTCTACTTCAAAACCTTTTCATACATGTTTTCTATTCTAAGGAAAATCTCATGTAAGAAGTTTTAACTTCCTGTATATGAAATCAAGCTCAAAGGAATTTGTAGGAAGCTTAAAGAATTCATGGCAAGACAGATGTTAATTACGTCTCACTAAAGCTTCATTTCACATGAGACCACAGTGTTCACCGTAGACTAAGTATTATGAAGAGCTGCCTCTGTTTTAAAGGAACTGTAGTAGTAGACTTAGAAATGCTATTAACATTGTAGTATTCAAGTTAAACAATCATTCTTTCTTTCATTTTTGCCTATATTCATTTGACTTTTCACTGCTTGGTGCATTTGCTAGAGTGAACTTACTGAGCATGTGTTGCCATCATCTTCTTCCTTCTCCTCATAATAGAAATAGACAAAGGGAATCCACAGAAAGACGCAGAACAGTATGATGGAGTACAAAGCTAGGAGAAAGAATTTAATTAAGTGAAGAGACAAAGTTACATTGGCAATTCATTTACTGCATAGTAATTCAAAGGAAATAATCTAATACTAGTTGCCTCTCATTCTAGCTCTGACTAATTTCAAGCATTGAAAAGTTAATAAATTTTACTATCCAGCATATGAGCTATCACTGTTTCATTAACTCCAAAGGACTTCTAGAATTAACCCTTTCAGACTAAGGATTTCAGAACCTTCAATTCAGCAATGATAAGACTAAAAGTAATCATCTTCTTGCAGGTGATATACAGGGCTAGCACACTGAAGAAGAGGTAACATAGAGGACTGTGAACAAAAGCAAGCTATGCCACCTAATAACAGAAGTTGTTCATAGAAAAGGTATACAAAAAATGTAACAAATTTAAAGTTATTTTGATCACTGGACTCCATTTCAGGAGATGTTCTACTGTTAATGTAAACACAGTATAGATAGAAGGCATTTTTCTGTTATTGATTACCTCAATTCACAATACAGAACAAGCCATACCAACATAGCATCATTGCTTAACACCCCTTTTTTCAAGGAAGGACTAACTGGAGATTGCAACAGACATTTATCTGAGTAGCCACTAAATCGAAACAGTCATACTGCCATATTACTTTGATGCAGAGGTGGTCTGCAGAGACTTTAAACCAGGTAAACATAAGTGAAGGGTTAAACTAACATCTAAGTCTTCACAAATACTAATTGGCAAGTTTGAAGACATTAAAGAAAGCTAGTCAAAAAATCAGTTGGACTGATTAGCCAGTGATATGAAGGGAGCAGACCAATTTCAGATCAAGAATTTAAACCTTAAATCTTCAGCTCTATATATTATAAGAATATTACTTTTTAGGACTTTTTTAGCAAAATCCTTCAATACCTCACAATATCTTATACCACGAACATTTCAGAAGTCTATCAGGAAACTAAACACTGTCAAGCAATATGTTACAGTATTTTCACCCCACCAGAAAGGTATCCTAGAATAGTGAACCAAGCCCTCAAAATGTTAGAAGTACCATCCAATTAAGACTGCCTGTGCAAGCACAAAAAAAAAAAAAATCACCCGTTTGAGTGGACAAGAAAAGATATTCAGAACCACACAAGTCCTGTAATCTTTGGCTATTTTAGACATTTGCCTCATTTTGCATAACTAATTAGTGCCTTCCCACCACTAGCCAATATTATCATCCCTAACTTAAGTTTGTGGCCTCTTATCTTGGTTAGTGCACTCCTTACAGTATCCATGTGCTTCAAAAGAAATCTACCTCAGCCTTTTTACTGAGGGTGGTGTAGAAGCCAAATAAAGTGTCAACACCTAAAACCTAAAGATAAATGAGAAATTCTTTCTAAACAGAATTCATTCTTTGGAAAAATATTTCAAGGTGTGAGATCTATGTACTGTCTAGAGTGCTGAATCAGTATGGCAGTATAACAAATCGAAGTTCTTTGTTAGTTCATAAACTCTCCCACATTTGCCAAGAGCATAAAATTCAGGGCTCTAATCTTAAAACTTCAAGTTCTCAAATGCAGCATTCTTAGAACTTCTAGAAGAGTACTCATCAACTGCTTCAATATTATGAATGCTTTCAGAAATCAAGCCTCTCCAAAATTTGCTTTATTCAGACTAGTCCTAAGTCCACACTGCACCGTGTCAGTAAGGCAAATTACATGCATCATTGATCAAATAATCAGAATAATCAGCCCACAGAGGCCGCTGCAAGCACAGAAAACATCCTCACTTTCAAGGTTTACTGCATTAACTTCGATATACCTTACTTACACAAAGTACACATATACCTCATTAGACAATGGGACTGATCCACGTTTCTTCCAAGGTGATAAAAGATTCAAATCCAAGAGTTTATCTTTGAACTGTGAGACATAAGGCTACTATACCAATCAAACACTGGTACTGCCTAAATGCTGTTGCTGAAGTAGCTTAAGTTTTAAGCTCAGGCTTCTGCCACTAAACTTAGTTTTTTTGAATTTAAGACACTGGTGTTCAGTAACTGAACACATAGCTACTCCATATCCTTAATGTGTTTTACATAGTATGTTTTGCTATATTATAAAACTATAAATCCTTTCCTTTCTGAAAACTGCTTCCTGACACTTTCCTGTAATTCTTCATACTTATTGTCCACTTTTCTAAGTTTTTCTGATCTGCTACAAAAATTAAGAGGACTATTCTCAGTGGCTATTGACAATCAGCTGCACTTAACAGAACTATTTTTGTTGCATTTTCTTATTTAATTGGATTGAGGCTGCTGAAATGAGGTACAGTTTGTCCATCCTTCACCAGGTTTTGAAGCAGCCATTCATAGCACAAGCACCTCAACAGCACACAAAAAAATCAAGTAGGCAAAGTTTTCAACTCTGTTCAAGAAACACTACCAAAAAATAGTATCTTCACATACTGCTATTAATATCACTGTATTCAGTTTTTAAAGGACTATCACAAGTGTTTGGCAAGTCAGTTGCCAACAATATATCTTAAGTCATGTATTCCAAGCTTCCAGGCTGACTAAGTGGTGCCTCTCAACTCAAATGGTGAATTAGCAAGCTTAAACTATTACAGCAAAGCTTAAGTCAGAGGTAATTCTATAAATGAAAACCTTCACTGAAGTTTTAACAGGTCAATACCGTGACCATGTGAATACCTAGAGGAGTTTGTGCACCAAATAAGTGACTGACAGTTTTACATATCAGATCCAACTTCCACAGTGAAGGCAGTCAGAAAAATGACTATGCTACTTCCCCAAACCCATCACTTCAGCAATACATTGCAATATGCAAACAGTTAATGTAAAACTAGATCAATGACGCATCAAAACAAGGTATTCTCATTCAATAAGAATTAACTTCTATTGAACCAGGCATTGTTACCAACAGTTATGTTCCAATTTCTTCAACTCATTTCCTTTTCCACGTCTAATTGCTCACAGGAAAACGTTTAGGATAGTGTTTGCATTCTGGAGTATTTAAGTCAAGTTTAGATGCAAGTCTAAGCAGCTCTAAATAGGATATTGCATAAAGGTCTTGACATCCTCCCTAAATTTTCATACCCAATTTAAAATCTATAAGCTTCTCTTCATTGTCAGTGTGAACAAAGCAAATTACTATCCACATTAGCCTTACCAAAAGGTTAAATAACTGTACTTTCCTTAAAGTCATAGTTAACTCAATCCAATCCCTAAATTCCTCCCAGGAACTTAGAAAAAAATCCATACCAGTTTAA